AACATATCCAAATCCATGATGGTTTGGTCGTCAAGGTCGAGGAATGTAAGAAGTCGACCAATTTGCAGATGACCATCAAGAGGACCCGGAGCGACTCACCTATGCAGCGGATGATTGACCGGGCCGTGTTCTGAATATGAATTTCGCTTCTTGGGGGAGAATTCCTGGGAGACATTGGTGAAATTCATCTTCATTTCATATATTTCATGGCCCAGGAAGGACAAAAGGGGGAAGAAACAGATCCAGAAAGCTTTTCATCTATTCTGTTTAGTTGTTGGAGCGACATGTGAGGATCCTTCACCTCGAATAGTCACACAATGGTTAACCTGTATGTCCTTTTGCTTCATCCAATAGCTTGTGTGGAAGTGCTGCGAGCTATGTGCTTCGTATCTGGGGCGTGTCTACACCTGACAATCACTGGTGTTTGCCGGAAAAGGGCCTGACCTAAGCCAACAATCCGCAGATGCAGATGCAGTTTCCTCAAGGTATGTATTGAAAATCTTCAGGGCATTAGCTGCATTGTATGATTTGCACGCTTTTGGGCCTCAAACTAGAATCATTCTCATGTAGATGAACATGGGATAATCCATGTCAAGACAATTCATAAGTTATGTCATTTTGTCCTTTTGATTCTCGATCATCCCATATTCTTAACGTCACGGCGCCCCCAGGCGCCTTCGTGTGAAAATGTGTCCGCGCCTGTCGCAACATGTGAAAACATTAGTGTGTTACAACGAGTCTTTTTCACCGCTCAGATGCTAGCTTTCCAAGTGCGCTCAGTACATTGTCAGGATTCATTCCTGTTAGAGTCCTTCTATGCATGCACTGGTGCACGCTTGATCAATTTCAAAGCTGGAGTCCTCCCCTTTAATAGACTCGACTTCCGATGAACATTCAACAGGGAGTTCTTGAGTTGCGGCCACTTTGTATCTATTTGCATGTCAAAGACCACACAACATCTTGATAGCAAAGCAAATCCAAACAATCTTAATTATCCCCCACCCATGCCCCAATCTTCCAAGGCACGTATGCATCATCGCACGGAACAAGCGCGCGACTAAGGATACCGCCAGCAACTATACTCAAATCAAACCCTTGGATCAGGGGACCTTCAGGAGAATAACAAACACAGAAATCACGGAGAGAAACCACGGGTGATCACCCGTGCTCCGAGTGGCAGGAACTTACCTGCCTGAGGCCTCGGCCTGGGGACAGGAGTGGAGGTTCTTTGATCACTTGAGGCATCCGGTTTTCACCTGTGACCTGACAGGCAGCGGTGACTGGCAGCTCAAGACATTGCCACCTACCGAATTAGGATGAATGAATTAGGATTAAAGACAGACCAGGACGGACCCGAGGAGATCTTGCCAGGTTCCTCGAGTTGGGGCAAAGTCTTTCTCCGTGACTGTTCATGGAAGATGTTCCATCCATCACCCAGCGAAGAGAATAGCGAAGTCCCAGTAGAAAGAAGCTTCTCACGGGTCTCTGAGAAGTCAGATGCTGTGATTCTTCCACCTCGGAAGACCTATTGGGATCCTCCAAGTTCGGTGCTTTCTGGTACAGTTCCCCAAAACCCACTGCTGGACCGGGTCCAGCCTGGTGAGGGTCGTGGAGCTTGTTTTTGGTAGACCTATAGCTCTTTTTTCCTTGCAAGCCATGAGAGGGATCCTGTTTAATCCGGATCTACTTACCTTCCACCTGTCGCCTCGCCTCCCGACCCCACAACGGCAGGTCGTTTCCTGGTTCGCGTCCGGCGGTGGCACCGGATGAGGAGGCGGAATTCGCAGGAAGCTTCGCAGGTGGATCGCAGGTGATTCGTGGCCAACCTCGACTCGTCACCCTGCAAGGCAGAGCCCATAGACATGATGCGACAGCTCAGGTCGCCGGGAGGGTGACCTGCTTAGTAGGTCAATGTGGTAGGTTGACCTCCTTAGTAGTCTATTCCCGACGTGACTCAGGTCGGTCTATTAGTGGATATGGCTGTGGGTCAGAGTTCGAAACCCTGGTCACTGGTAGCGGCCTACCATGTTTGGTAGGTCGTTTGTAGTCTGTTCATGTTTCAGTGGGATTTACACATAGATCGACCAGTATTTCATCGACTCCATCGGCATCTGGAATGTATAGACTGTGTGGGGATGAGCTATTTTAGGGAACAGGGAAATGTGACAGGATGATTACACAACTCCAAATCTACCACCAACTTGGTTGACGCTTATGTTATGTCACAACTCTAAGTGCCTCCAGTATCAATCAACTGTAATTAGAGTGAGAAATTTATCAAGATTGGCCATCCAGTTTGGTGGGTGCCTGGCCTAGTGTAACTACATGTAAGTACAATGTTTTGCGTCCTGGGTGAGCTAGGTATGTTTGATGATTCGTTATGGGCTATGCCTCAATACTATCACAGCTCAAGGGGTGCCGGCTGCCTTTCCATAGACACGTCCCTCCCGAATCTTCAATTCATTGTTCTCCCAATCAGTGCTTATGGAGATGTCAATGCCATGAGAGGAATGGGGAACTGTGACCTGTTGAATTCCAACATGCACCTGTGACCTCGCCTGTGACCTCTTCATCCAGATGTGAACGATCCTGTTTTGGAAATTGGCCCCAAAGGGGGCATTTCATCGCCCAGCAGCCCACACGCATGATCCACCCGAAGACATGTCATACTCACATGGCGTTGAAGGTAGCTTTTCTAGAGTACAGTTGCCGTCATGGCAGACTTTAGCATCGCGGGGAAAGTAAAGGTGTGGTATATAAATATATTTTGGATTATTTTAGAATCGATTTGATAGGAACCCTTCTCTCAAGGTTTAATGCCATACCTCGCCATCTCTAGCAGGCGGTCCACTCATGACATTACAACCTGTGAACATGGTCCCCACTTGACCGGCGTTGAATGTTCTGCATTCATTTGATGACTCGAGTGACCCCCCACCAGACACCTGTAGACAGGGACCAGACTACCATACGTCAGTGATCAGCGGCACCGGGACTGGTGTACATTCAACAGAGGTCCCTTGTTCTTTGTTGGTCTCGGTGGCTTGAACAATGGCAGGACGAAGTCGCAATATGTCGCAATGAGTGTTGGTGGAGCGGAAGCCCATTTGCTTGATTCAAGTAGTTACTTTACTTGGATCTGAATATGTTTTAACCATACCCTGGAACAATATATTATTGTGAATTGCATTCTTACAAATGGGAGGGAATCTCATTGTGATCGCACTCAAAGACTCAAATTCTCACTTTCATGGTGGGTTTGCTGCCACTGTCGGCCGTTCAACATGCGTGTTCAGTACATGCGGCCGAGCTGTCTCACCTTGTTCGGAGGCACGGCTGAGGTGTAGGAAACCAGGTCCGAAGACGAGACGCCCAATTTTGGCACCTACTCCATGACGGTTTGGTGTTGCATGTTTGGTGTTCTTCTTCCTCTTGTTGGTTTGCTGACGAGCTTGGACAGATAATTCCCCGAGAGCATCGGGTTTGAGGGGGATATGACCTTTTCTCCTTGGCAGCGATGAATGACCAACACCAACCGCCAGCCTAGAGTAGGAAACGCTGGCCAAATGGAGGTTGTTGATGTCCAATTCCTGTGGGAGGGTTTTGGTCGCGATTCAGGGTGTCCCCGTCCTGTCTTTGCATGTGGACTGAACTTTTGTTCGGCAACTGGATCCATGGTTCGTTGGATATGTATGTCTTATATATTATTACTAGTTAATATGATTATTGTTATTGTTATTACTATACTATTCATATATATATATATATTTGATATGGTTCTGATTCTGCACCACGTGATCACAGGCTCGGACGAGATATCGGATATGGCATTTCAGCGGTTGGATGATCCACCCAGATGTGCAGGGTTTCATTCAGACCTGGAAATCAAAATGCCTTTATGCAGCCTAGTGAAAGCGTTTGTTGAGGCGGTCTGCAATGCTGCTGACATCCCACCCTTCGAATATCTGAGATGTATTGGTGTTTGACATCCCATAAGGCAACACAAATAAGCTGAAGGGACATGCTTTGGTGCCAGTTTTCCTGAATCATTGTAGTATATATATATAATAATAATGGTAATAAAAGTAATATAGTAACAATTATAACAATAACAATAACAATAATAGTAATAATATATATATATAAGTTTCTTATACTTTGTGTCAAGTGCCTTGGACCTTAAGGGAAAATCGGGAAAATGCGACCTTTCTTGGCAGGTGAGACCTACTGAAGGGGTTGGTTTGTCTTTCCAGACCAAGCGTCGACCACCACACCGTGCCCCGGGCACCACGACTCCCTTGGGCACTCCTCGACCAGAATGGAACGAAAAAGAAGAAAACGACCGCGAGCGATGGGGCGATATTGGGAAGCCAGAAGATAGTGGATATATATATATATATATTGGACACACGATGCGTGATGGTCGATGCACGAACGCCTTACACGGCCGAGCCGAGCGAGAAGATTGTTTGGGTGGTTGATGGGAGTCTTCTGTTGTTTGATTGCTTTCTGCGTCCATGTTTCAGTATGTTGTGGGGAACAGCTTCATGTCACGTGGCCACAGGAAACACCCCTTTTTTTAGACTTTTTGGTAAGCTCCTCGGGACTATTGATTCCAAGAAGTGCGGGACTATTGATTCCAAGAAGTGCTTGAATAAGCTTCAATTCAATGTGAATGTTGCTTCAATCAACAAGCAACCTATGTAGCAACATATTCAGTTCTTGTCCCAACGTATGAGGATCATAGAAGAAACCGAGGGCTCCCCTGATTCCAGTCAATTCATTTGCAAGACCTTTCCGGAAAAACTGGTCGCACGTGACACATCGCACCTGTCGTGTTGGGACCAGAAGGACATGAAATGTCTCAAAGCAGGCTGAAGCTGAAGGCCTCCACGACACACACTGCCATGGCTTCTTTGATCTTGTGTTTCTCCTTTTGAAACTTGCATATAGACGATATAGAGAGACCCTGGAAGCAAACACAACAGCTCTGAAGAAGAGCGATATCACATCAGTCAGTATTCACAGCTTTTTCTTGTTTGTCATCGCGAAAACTGTGATTGCTCACCTGGACATTGCATTTGCGAGGCAACCCAAACAGTAGAAGTATTTGTTCCCTCTGAACCTGTAGGATGAACTGAGACTTGTAAGAAGAGATTCTGCCAGTTGATTTACGGGGCCTTTTTCGTCACCGGACAAAGTGGTCCCGCCATGCTGCCGCCCCGCTCCCTGAATTGGCCAGAGCTCTATGATCAGCGGCCAGAGATCTACCGCCTGCTCGCAGAGCTTCCGAACGACTCCCGTTACCAGGCGCGAGGAGACACCCAGTTTTTGGAGCTTTTCGAAACGAAAAATCTGGGAAGCTGCTCTTAATTCGTTGTAGGCTCCTGCGAAAGCTGAAGGACCAGCTGCTGCGAAAAGGTGGATGCATTTGGGAAGTGATGGTGGAAATCCAAGCCTCCTGCTGGAGGAAGCCGAGAAGCTCATTTTTCATAACAGGTTCCTGATAATCTCAGGTACAGGATTGGCATGCCTCGGATTTAGGCACTTGAAACAAAACAAGTTGTGAATCCGGAGGTCTCTCACCTCGACGTACGGTCGTGACCCAACTCGCGTGAGATCTAAATGGACATCGGAAGACAAAGGGAACGACCCGCCCACAAACTAACATGGAACCTGAGAATTGACTGCTGCAAAACCATTTTTCTCTACAACCCAGTGGTTTTGGGGGTTGCCTTTTGGCTGGCTTGATGAACCAGCAGACATTTTGCATAGTTGGAAGATCCAGGTATATAAATTGCAGATACATGTTCACACATGTTCGGCCTTCCCCCAAACTGCATTGGTTTTAACTGTTCGGCTGCACGTGCTCCATGTTTCCAGGCTTGGACGGAGTTTGCGATGCTTGGCGAGAGGTAGTTACCTGGTAGTTCTGTGGGGAATAATAGGAATTAACAATGAATATTTGATGTCCAAAAACCATCCCATACCTTGTCATAGCTTTGTATGGATAACAGGCCTCAGCTACACCATGGATACAAGTCTACTCTCCCGTGTACAGATGTCGGGCAGCCTTCTAGTCCACCTTGGTGGCCAGACCCTGCAGCCGTCCACATGCAATGGAAGATGTAGATCTCCTTGTTCTGCGGCGTGAAGTCAAGAACCCTGACCAACACCCTAGAGTTTGAAGGATTGATTTTTGGTAGGCCCATGATTTTGCGGGAACATACAGAAACACATTTTGTGGTGATATTACTATGACACCCTTCTAGCCTGCAGTGGTGGATTCGGCTCTTGTCATTCTGTTTTGCGGTATTCGGTACTCAAACCTGCAGTTCTTGGAGAAACATCCTTCAATGACTACGGGTGCTTGTTGACAACTGCGGTAGCAGATTCAGTGCTGATTTCATCAAAAACACCATCCACTGGTCCCCGTGTTTTGGTCGCCAACGAGGTGGACACTCACCTCCGAAGCTGCCAGAGATCGGTCACCTGTCAGATCGGTCAGCGACGCGGTGGTCGTTGTGACAGGTCGACCCTCGTGTCGAGGCCCACGACGTGTCGAGGTTGACCGGTCTACAAGTAACCTTTTCAGGACTAAGACTAAGTGACCCTATCCTGGGATCTCAAAAAGGTCGCTTGTAACTTATATCTACATCTTTCATACACTCTCTCCCATTTGCGATGCATTCTGTCCGGGTTCGGGGACAGAGCCATTTTGGAGCAGCCTTTGCAGTGCAACATGATCTAGTGCCGGATTTCTCTCGGCTGGAAGACTGACATTCAGGGCCACCCAAATTTGCCTGGCAACCCTTTATTTGAACTCATCAACTGTTAAATAAGGTTTACGGACGTAGAACAAAACAGTTGCAAAGACTGTGGCTTTCAAAACTTCACACAAACGTTCTTCGTTGGCAAAGATGCTGAACAAGCCGAGGAAGATGTGTGCTTGGCAAAAACGCAAGCCACCGGTTCCGTAAAAGACCCTTCATGGGTCAAATTGTTCAGTCACTTTGTACAATTTTTCGGATCTGGAACCAACAGTGGATTTGTGTTTCACGGTGTCAGCATGTGTCAGCGCAGAAATGAATTTCAGGTCGATGACCACCTTGTGACAGGTTCTTGTTAGACTGCATGTTCTATTTTCTATTAACTGGATGATCCTTGATGTGTCTCGCCAAGAACATGCACCAACACTCTCAAGTGGCTCTCACCCTTTGCCCCACCGAATTCGCCGAGGCCGCCTAGGAGTCTGGGCCTCTTGGTCGAAGCGCCGGCCCATATCGAGCCATTACGCGTCCTTGAGGCGCGGAACGCAGAAAGGATCTGGGAAATTCCTCATTTGGACATGGTGAGAAGGTGAAACCCAGGTGAAAACCAGATGACCGAAGACGTCCGGAAGTGTGATCAGAGGTGCCAGTGATGGATGAACATGTGACCGGGGGAATTCTGTCTCAAAACCTGAGTGGGTGATGCCTTGTCCATCCTTGTGCTTGGATGTGATGCCTTGCCAGGGAAACGGTTATCCCACTTCAGGATTCATCAGGGCTTTAGATGTTCAAATGGTATCCCAGATGTTCAACAAAGATATCGAACTGGGGTGAAGCCTTTGCTCCCGAAGGTGTGCAGTGACTCCAGGGCCAGTGAGAAGAATGCGGAGCATTACTCCTTAGGCACGCAGAGCGTTCGTGTTTTTTTGCAGAGCGGCCCACTGGGTTTTTGGAGATGACTGCTGGGTTCATTTCTTGTTTTGCGATCTCTGTTGCAGGTATCTGTAGAAGCGTGAGACAAATGAATGGGCGGCCCTACCAACGGGAGTGTAGATGTTCCGTCACCTCAATTCCTTCGAAGCTGTGTCCGATAAGGCTGTGGCCTGCAACCCCAAACTGTCCCCAAAAAACTTTGTGAACATCATACAATGTGATCCATTTTCGATAGTAAACATCAGCCGAGGCGTTGTTTTGCGTGTTCGCGTTGTTTGCGATCAATAACAACGGTCCTGATTCAAAATTCACATGTTTGATCTCACGACATCAGTGCAATCTTGGATATCTTGACTTCACCCACTTCTTCTAAACGTTTGATTTCTTCAGTGAAGATCCACCTTCAGGCAGAGGGTCACCACGGCCACCGATTGTCAGGCTTGAGTGTTGAGCATGGAAAGTGGTGTTTGAAGCCGGGCGATTGGATCGTGGCCGTCAACCGAAAGACCGACAGGCGGGCAGTTTTCAGTTTTCAAGTATTGCTGGAGTTGAGCAACCTGCAGTTGTTTCCCAAAAAGAGGTGACCAAAACCGAATACTCACTGTAAGTGGTTTTTGGGCACCTTTTGGCCACGATCATGGCCTGACTTAGCTTGAAAGTTGGTGCATGATTCATCCGACCGAATCTTTTTGTTTGGTTGTCACGAGTTGGGGGCCGACCTGGACGGGGCTCAACAATCGTCGTCCTCAGACGCTTCGGTCCAAGGGACAGCAAATGACAGCAATGTGGCATGATCAGATGTGCCAGAGATGACAGCAAATGGTTCCCTGGTTCATTGAACAATTCACGAAGAGAAAGTGGATGAACATCATAGCAGCAACGAGCCAATAACGATGAATGATGAATGATAAGGAAACAACAGTTTGCCTCAAAGTGGGCATAGAAACGCTCTAGCAGAGCACGATCTGTTTGTTCTTTCCTTAGCCATGGATGTTCCACATGTGATTCTGATTGTGTTCTTGTGTCTTCTATTTTTCGAGTCTTTCTTGTGCCTCGGCAAGCTCGTGGGACAGACCGAGTCCACAGCCAGGTGAGCAACCACTCTTTTTGGGGGCTCGACTTTGTCTACAGCTTGACTTAGAGTATGTTGATATTAGGTTGCCGAACCTGCTGGCGGAACAAGGGTTCACGAAGTCGGTGCCTGTAGGGGTGCCTGAAAGATCCATCGAAAGGATTTGAGAGTCCACGACATGGTTCCTCCACGGTCGCGGCAAGTCGACGACATGTAGGGGTTCTTGGGCCTGAACCGCGCCGCTTGCAGACCCTGAAAGACCCGAGGTTGGCTTCCCCCTTTCTATGGGAAGCCAAAGGTCCTCCAAAAGAAAGACAAAGTTCCCTCAGAACATTTGACTCGGTGAAGAATCAGAAGGCTGCAGCATTTCTATACCGGTTGTGAATTCTATGCTAGTGATAGTGTTCGACATCCTTCGTACACCCTCAACCATGATTCTGGCAGTTTGTCCCATAGCCATGTCAAGGGATGTCTCCGCAATGTGTCGGGTGACCAAGCGCCCTGTGGATCAGACCTATTTCCCGGATTCATTCCCCATAAGCTTGTTGGCAGTGGAACATCAACAATCCTCTACAGGTATATGTGTTTCAATGACCATTGGATCCGGGGATCTTTGCTGCTTGGCGTCACTGAGATTTATCTTCATGGTGCGAAGAAGACAAGTCCAGCTAGCTGCAGAACGAGCTGCAACCCTTGGAGAGGATTCTTTCAGCATCAATGCCGTAACCTGGGGCAAGGCCTTCGCTGAGCTGCCATCCGCACACGCGGTATACGCGGGTCAGCTTTGCCCCATTTGCCTTGAGAAGCTGGACAATGGTGAGGTACATCTGGCGGCATTGTGAGATGGGGGGCGAGGGCGGCTGGGGTCGCTGGGTGGCTTTTTGGTTTTAGTTTTCTGACCGGAAGAGACGAGCCCAACACCTACGAGCAACACATCGCAAAACCGTTTCGCGGGTGGTTTCGGCCGGGTTGCTGGTTGTTTTTGGTCCACGAAGGTTCGGAAGTGGCGCCACAGGAGATGTTCAACTTACCGACTTGCCAAACACTTGACATCCGATGGAACCTAAAAGGCCTAGCCTAGCTCTATATAGCCTGTATTTACAGCAGGATTCCCGGATTCGCTGCAAGAGGTGTCGTGGAACGGATTGGAAAAAGGACTCGTCCTTTCCATATATTATAGGAACCAACCAGGCTCAAAATGGGGTACTGGTGCCCGTGGCTGCCCTGCCGGTTTAAGGATGTGAAGGAGTTGCACTGCCAGCATCAGTTTCACTCAACATGTTTGAGTGGCTGGTGTGCGCATGGGACCAATCGCTTCATCCAAGCGGCCAGATGCCCCACGTGCAGACAAACGCACCCATACTGTATTAATATCTGATCAGTGAGACTGAGAGGATCAGTGCTGGAGATAGACCTTTTCAGGGTAGAAATCCCGTTTTTTGACAGTTTTCTTTTACCGTCACAGTTTTCATCGTATTTGTGACGATGGGCCTGTGGAGCACTAGTGGCTTCCAGTAACGACCAGAAATCGTAAGACAGATCTGCGCAAGAAACGTAGGAGTCCTATACTGCTCAGTTGCCCAGATGGTTGTTGGATGTACATGATGTACTTCAGCTCCAGTCAGACGCGGACAAGTTCCTATAGTATCTCTGCTGCTTAAACTGCCAAGAAAAGCGGGTAGGAAGAGTATGGAAGAGTCATACATTACCCAACTGATAAGTACAAACATGTCGTGCCTACAAAGGAGGGCAAGATACAGGTCCAGCCAGACAGCCCATCCGACGTTCTCCTCGAAAAAAGGACGAAGACATGTTAAATAGCTCCAAAGATGGTTGCTAATCGTTTGGTCGATTTGTTGATGTGAGCTGTGCCGAAGTGCTCCTATCGTGCTCTGTGACGTTGTCGCCTGGGAGCTACCTGAGTCGTTTTCCGCCCCAGAGTCGTATTTGAATGGGAAGGTGAACCCACGCGGGTCAGCTTCCAGCACCACGGGTTAGCTGAGATCCAAACTTGGCACACAAACAAAGCGCCAGTCGAAGGATTTGATGGTGAAACCCAGCATCCAGTCATCGATGGCTCACTGGCTAACCATGTTGGCTTCGCATGGATTGCGATGATTGCGAGACTCTAGACCGAGCCGATGATTGGGCGAATACACCGACGTGAGAAAAAGGGGAGGTCTGACCTCCGTGCGCGCGAGGTTTCGACTCGACTCTCACAGGTTGGGTGCTCAGGCGACGCATGAAGATCTTCCACCCTGCGGGTGGAGAGGGGAGGAGGGGAGTCCATGCCTGATTTGGAAGAGTTCTCAGATTTTTACCAACTCTTTGGGGGTTTTCAATCGCCAGGCATCATTTGTCACCAGTTGTAGATGTTTGTAGATTGCTGAGAGAGATCTGAGATAGGAAATTCATCCAACAGTCCTCCCGGATGAGTCAATTCCCACCAGGAAGACAATGACTCAGGCGCCGTTGACCCGGTGGTTTGGGACGGATTTGGACAGAAGGGGACCGGAAGAGGGAGAGCTAGATAGTCATATAGACCGCACGATATCTTCAGGTTTTTTGGAGTCCAGAGTAGGCTGTTGTGTTTCTCCTGAAGACTTGATTGATTCAACCATGTTGCTTAAGACTTAAGACATTCCATGTAGGTCAACCAAGGGATCCTGGTCCTGGTTTTGACCCACAACCATATCTTCAGGTTTTTGAGATGAACCTATTATGTTGATAGTCTGAACAAGACGATCATAAACAACCAAACCAACATTGCCAACTTCGAGAGTTTATATCGAAGAACTTTGGACCAGGCTACAGGAAACTGCCGGAAGCTAAAATATATTGTTTTACTTTTTGAATGCACTTAGATATTGTTTGGTGGAATTTTGACTTTGAATGTTTGGTTTTGCAACTAGAACTTGGAGAACCCCAAGTGTCACATCCACATAAAATAGATGAAGCGTCCAAAGCTGAAGAGAAGAACCACAAGCGGATTCTGAAGCTGCCTTGTTTTCAAAGCAACTGTCGTGACAATGATGCAATGATGCAATGTACAATAAGATATTGCGACGGTCACTTCAACCCAGCAACCATCTTCATCAGACTGACTTTGCGATTTAACATTTAGCATCATATTGATACTACAAGATTGAACACAGAGGTACAGCACAGTGGTTGGAGTAATGTTAAGACAAAACTGGAGAGTATCGTATTGACGTATTAGTCAGTTCTTTTTGGGGGGTTCTTCCTCGCCCGACTTAAGATAGGACGCTGCATTGCTGGAACACAGCCCAGCAAGTGCCCAGTGCCCTGCTTCCACACGTCCGTGTGCTTCAGGTCTTACAGGGCCATGGACAGCTGAGAGTGGTGCCTTGACAGCTGTTCGTGACGCATCACGTCCGTAGTACACGTCGCGTCGTACACGCGCGGGCGCGCCTTCCAATGGGCAAAGAGAAGGTGGAGAAACCCCGCCAGCTGGGGGTTTGGATTGGCGGCAGAAAATAAACAAGTAAGAGCTGGAGGTGGACTGGTTTGGAGAGCAAAGGAGTCTTTCAAGGGGCAGTGTTCCACTGGTATTTGTTTATGCTGGCGGCGTCATTAACGACCCCGCTGTGTTTTTGAGGGTTTGCACACGGTTTGCACACGATTTCGCACGGTATTTGCGTCACTTTGTAGTTTCGTGTGGTATTTGCAGGTCTTTTTGACATTCATGTCCGTCATGCACATCATAGCATGTGGGGGTGGGGTGGGGTGGGGCGGGATGTTAACGTTCGGTTCAAATTGCACACGCGTACAAAGGAAACTCTTCTGCGCTCTGCACACCAATATGTATAAACGATGCGTGCTGTGTTGCGCGCACATGTTTTCTTGCACACCTGTGTGTTTCAATCCCGTCTGGATGTTTTCATATCTAACCTTAGATTTTATATGGAAATGCATACAGCAAGGATGGTCTGGGATCCCACATCATCAACGCCCGCCATTTCAAATCTTTTCGCCAATCCGTAACATTTCCCAAGCACTCCATGTATGGCATATTGACCTACATTGCAATGGTTTCAGGAGTCAATGTAGGTATATGTTCCTTATATGGAGTTCTGGGATATTTGGTGGCTGGACCGTTTTGGGTCAACACGCCGTGTTTTTTCGTCGTTGATCTGGACGCAGTTTTGTTGCTCATATGGCGAATTTTCCTTTGTGTCCGCTTTAGCTTTGGCTTTCGTTGCGTTGTTGAGGTTAGGGGGGTGGACAGGGGTGGATCAGCTCCCCGAATCATTGCAATCATGGTTTGAGGTAGACCCGTGGTATCTTGATAGCTTGTTGAAAACCTGGAGTGAAAGTTCCACCGATGATCCACTGCTTCTTGAAGTGTTGCATATAGCTATGCAGCAATTTATGTTGGTGACCAATTTTGTTTTTCGGACCGAAACATTTTACACAATGAAATTCTGACAAAACTGTTCGTTCTGCCGCAGTTCGCAAACCATTAAAAAACATCGTTTTCGTGGAGTTTGCATGTTTGGAATACTAAAAAGCAGCGGGGTCATTAATGACACTGCTACCTTGTTTATATGATAAATATGTTTATACTCAATGGGGATGATTTGGGATTAGATTGACATTGCCTGCAGACGAGCTGTTGAATTCTGGTATAAGGACTCAACAACCACAGGACCCACCGATCAAGTCTGTTGAGCTATTCCCGGATGTCCGTTTTTTTGCAGTGATCGTGGCCTTTCAGCACAGGCTCCAACGATTCATGAAACAAAGGCATTGGAACTAACCATTGAGGAAACTGTGCACATCTTGGGTAGTGCCGTCATTAGTAGTACAGAGACAAATGCAAAAGTTGGAACAAAGCCATGATGTATGGTCCATTTCAAGGGTGGCTCAGAGTAGACATGAGGAGACCTGGGAATATTTGTAAGGCAAGCAGAACGGGGCAGGAGCATGTTTGTTTATTTTCGAACGACTGGCTTTGAGGTCTTACGCAATGCAAGTATCGCTAGTATGTAGGAGGCCATTACAATTAGGTAGGAGGCTACTAGGTTTGAAACAAAAAGGTCTTTTCCGCGCGCGGCCGGCCACCATTTATAATGCTCCGTGAAGCGGATTCCATCCTTCTTCAGGCGGTGGTCCGCTTCCTGACGCGCGAGGACCTTCAGGCCCCAACTGATGACAGATGAGTTGTTTCTTCAGATTTGACTAAATAATGCCACCAGCTGGCAACATGGCTTGGATTCGGGATTTGGATTGGGTGGGTTGTTGGCCTTTGGAGGTAGATGATGTTGTGGCACCTTGTAGGATATGTTGTACCTGATGCTCCAAGACCTCTTCGATGCTGGAGTGACAAAGATGGGCACCATCTCGATATGTCGCTTCATCGGTGGATATCTCCAAAGACGGGCGCCATTGGGGAAAGGATATGTTTTGGGATATCTCTGGCACGTTAGCTGATTTGATCAAGTTTCCCCTCATCTGTCGCCGGTCCAGTCCGCTGCTGACAGTGCGGTTGACTCAACAGCAGCGCCAGAGGAGTGCAATTACTGTAAGTGGTTGCTTGAAAACGAGATGTGTGCTTCAAGGAGCAGTGAAGTCCAAGCCACGTGGGGTATTGTCTCGATCTATCTCCATTTATATATTCATTTATGTCTATATATATATATACTATTTTTGTTTCAAGTATCTACATCACATATATTATACATGTGTTTAGTCCGGCACATTGCCCAAGCTTCACCAGCCGGCCCATGACAGCCTGCGGGGTGCCCCGACAGGAGCCGACGCCAACGAGCAGAGAGGCGCCAGATCAGATCCATCGATGGGTTCGAGCTTGAGGGGTTTGAAGAACTGGTTGAAGAACTGATTGGACACAATTTATTGTCATTAGCTCTTTCTTTTGTATGGTGCTTGAAGTAGTTCAGAACCTAAGAACGGCGAGTTCACTGATGTAGGCCCAATGTCGACGTACGTCGAGCTACATTCACCCAATATCACGCTCGCCGCTCTCCAATAAAATGCTGTGATGATGAGTGATGTGTTTCTAATCTGAAAATAGACTCCCTCCTTTTGGTTTTTGAGTCCAACTCGTGCTCCGGAGCCGAGTCAACCCAATGGCCTCAGGATGGTCCACTAAGCCCGCCAGAGCCACAGGCACCGCAGGCCGGGCCGTGTGGTGCTGTGTTGATGTTGGGTGAGAGTCAAGGGACCCATGCAGGTGTGTATACATACATAATTACAGAGTCATATTACATATAAGTATGATGCTATATGCCCTCAGGTTTTCGTTTGTTACATATATAATATATTGTGTTATATATAGTATTGTATGTTATTTTACATATATATAATATATATTATATATGAATATATATATATATTATATATAGAGAGAGTGTTTGTTAGTTTTATCCACTTAGGTGCCCACGAACATCAGATCTGGATTTGTTTGCTGTTCACTGATGTTTCGGATCTGTGCAGAAACTGAAGCCTGCAGACTGAGGCAGGCAATTCCAATGTGCCGTATGCTGAGATGAGGGTCATTGAGGATTACGAGCCTCGACTCGACGGGAATTTAGGGTACACTGGAGAGATCGGAGAGGATTGTAAGTTTGACATGGGGGAGAGAGATGGAGAGAGATCAGAAGTTCCTAATCACATCTAATCACCAATCAGTACGACTTGGGTGATCAATCCACGAAAGAACTCGTGCAAAATGTGTTGAAGATCTGTCAGCTGCATTTGGGTTGTTTTGAAAGACCCCGGTGACTTCGCGTGGGATTTCAGACTCGGATCCAAGCAAACGTTGACTCAACGTCCAAACGGGCTCGGCGGGGGTGCTGCCAAGTGGCAGATGTACTATTTGCAGCCCCTTTTTTTCACAGGATTTCCGTAAATTGTTGGATCAATTCGCATAATTATATGCGAGGGCCCCTGTTTGGGATGGTTACTGGACACCCCTAGACCTCTTTTCGTGGCCATTACTATCTATAGACACCGTTTAGGGGGCCCTGGTATGTTCTGTGAGGCTTCACATCCAAGCACTCAGTTTTTTCACCAGGGCCTCCATTTCTGCAACATGAATGTTAACTGTTGCACTGTTGCAGCATGCCAGGCCCAGTCGGGCCAGTCGTGGGAACCCTATGCTTTAGCACATGACTTGTCCCTCACCCTGTGCTTCTCACTGAGGATGCTGGCCAGGAACCAATCCAGGGCTACTTACAGCTTCGCCGCGGGGACTTGATCCACATCCAAACAGACGCTTGGCAATCGCTTAGCATCGATCGATGGATCGATGTTCCGTGCAACGGAGAGTTTGATATTGGAAGCAAAGAAAAACAAACATGTCATAATGTCCATGCCATAGACATATCGACTCATGGACATTCTTATTGGCCATGTATATACTTATAGAGAGAGAGAGAGAGAGATCCGTCTTAGTCCAATCACGCACCATCTTTGTGGGCAAAGAGACGAAACATGGTCGGCGAGGAGCTCGTTCGATCCAAACGGCGGGATCGTGTCCTTTCGATCTGTCTCCTTGGACAGTTTTGTTCGGATTCGCTTGGACTGCGTGGCTACCTACCCAGGACATTTCTTTGCCAAGAACAATGATAGATCAGATCGGATAAGCTCAAGTATGTAAGAGAGTGGGGGAGGATAGATGGCAGATGGGGTACCGTCTACAATATACATGAATAATCCTCCCCATGAAAAAAATGTCTGTGGCAGGTCTGAACAACACACTGCATCGTCACCTGCATTTTAGGCAATTGTTTGTGAATGTGTTTGAGCGTGTGAAAGATGGCGGTGCCTGACAAGTCGCACCACGGGGCTCTGAGAGGATTCCAAGCCTCGACGCTGTGGGTGCTGAGGGCACGAATCAGCCCGCAGAGGAATCGAATAGCCGCTGCCTCATCAGGGTGGAGGGTTGAAATTGGAACATGGAAACCTTCAGATCGTAGTGGATTAGTTACAACCTTACAGGACTGACCAGATCCCCGTTTGAACCAAACTTGTCCGAGACTCTTTATACGGAAGGTCGCCGGCAATGGGCACTGAATCGGTCGCATCTTGAGTGGGAAAGCCCAACACGATCCTGGGTTGAGCTCTTTCAAAAGCATCTGGTAATTGATCTAATACAAGTTGTTACAACTCCTAAACATAACTAGTAACAAGTTGTTGTAACATCAAAAGTACTTTCCAAGATACTCCTCACGAGGAGTTGTACTTGTAATGGCCAATGTGTTTTATTTGTACGATGATTAATCCCACTGACTGTTAGAACCACCAACCAGACAAGATGTAGTGGGATGTTTCGCATGTGCTGCATTTTAAGTTGTTTAAGTCTTCAACATGGAGAGTGTTCTTGAGACGATTCCGTGCTGTGTTCTATGTAGACCCTTCTGTGCTGCGTCTACCAACCTGATCCCTGGTCTGGTATCGTCGTCTGGTTACAAGTCATGTGAACTAAGGCCGGCGATGTGAGTATGTTTGGGGCTGGCCAAACCACTTGGAGCATCTTGGAGATCATGGAGATCCGCGAGGGGTCTATGGGGCTGGCCAACTGCTCGGTTGGCAGGGTAGCTGGCAGGGTAGCTGGTGCCAGGGCATTTGATTCAACAACTCGGTAGCTGGCAGGGTAGCTGGTGCCAGGGCATTTGATTCAACAACTCCGGGAGATGCCACGGAGCTCTGAAGACGAAGGGGTTCGGCGTTTTCGATGCTTTTCATCACACCCGTGGGGGTACAGATAAAGATCTTGGACCGCCGCCCGATCTTGGGTCCACCAACCGAGCACACATACCCTGACACCGTTGAACACTTGGAAGATCTTGGAAGCCTGGAAATGACGAAGCCCTGAAAGACTACGATCCTCTGCAGGGCAAACCTATGTTCCTCTCATCCGCAGCCACCTGCAAACTCATTACAATTTGTGCCAGCTTGTCCTTGTGTTTGGTGGGATGAAGCAGTCTAATTATTTGGCGGGCCCGAAAGCCAATTGGTGACGACCATATCCATCGATACTATCATACCCCTGATGAAGTGGTACGTTCTTTATCTTCTGTGCAATAGAGGCATAATATGTTGACAAAGTAAAGCACTGTGAAGCAAAGTTATGGACTCCGGACGAGGTTTCCACACTGACGTGTGAGCAAACCACCCCTCATATCCTTTGCATAGTGTTGGACAAAAACCAGCCATCCCGGGATGCCTTCCAATCGCATCATGGTACGGGGGTCCTCTTGTCGCAAGCACGAGACCATATAGTATGATACAAGAAGCCATGACCATTTCGAGGTTGCCTTTCTAGAGGATCGTTTACCTAGCCCTCACCTTGTGGTTGTTAGCTGCCTATCCCCGAGGCACAACAACGAGAACGGTGGCTGGCTGCCTGTCGAATGCATCAGCATTCCATAGGGCCGTGTGCCCAACCACGCGATGCGTGGTGCGTGAGAGTGAAGGCACGCAAAAGTCCACCGAGATGAACCATTCAGAGTAAACATGCGACATTGGTGACTTTTCTGATTGACAACGGTCTTTTGCAATTGGAACAAATGGCTATCTGACGGTTGTTATATGTTGTTATGATGATCCATCACCCCCCGACACAGGACCACACTTGCGTGCATGTACATCTTTGTTGCCACGTCAGTGCCGAGCTCCTGACTGACATCGAAGCTGCGCGCATGTTCGAACCATTGAGAGAACAATATTTACCAATGATTTGTTTCCTGCACATCGTCATGCGACCATGTTCTCATTCCCCAACCCTCCCGCCCTGTTTAGACACATTGAAAAGCCACTGGATGCAACAAATAGAAATCCATGCCTAGCAAACAAGGACGAACTCGCGCGGATAGGTCTGGTGTCCCTGCGGTTCATGGAGCTGTGCGGTGTGACCACCACACCGGAATTGGCCGGTTTTCTGGCGCCTGGTGACAAGTGCCGCAAAGCTGCAGAGCAATAGCCTCGGGCCAGTTTTGTTGAAGATTGAAGCATTTTCCCTGACTATGATCAAATACTAACACTATAATATATATCGTCATATCGTAGCTATTTCGGCGCTCGAGGCAGCTAGAAGCGAGAAGTGCTTGCAACGGGCGGTGTGGTCATCCTGAGGCTCATGCACGTGTCAGTTCCTTTTTCATTATATATATTCCAGACGCCAGTTCATGCATGTTCGTTCTTCCCCTGTCCAAACCACCCGCGGCACGAAGAAGCGCACGCCAAACGTGCTGCTTCGAAAACCGCAGCCGAAAGCACGCCTGACCGTGGGCTGACCTTGGTTCGGCACTATCGATCTCCGATGTGGGCCGTGCGCCCATGAGAGCAGAGAAATGGGAGAAAAGCTGAGAACAAAGGCCCCGCGATCCCCGAGACCCTGAGACCGCACCCGTATTATCGGCCCCCGAACAGACCAATGCGCGAGCGCTGGTGGGGATTCTTTTTCTTTCGAACAGACCATCCGGAGCCTCCCTGCTGAACGAGGTGATCGAAGGATCAGCACGTTCCATCGAAGATTTCGCTCTGAGCAGACCACTTGATTTTTGCTTTGATGTGTTCAGAGTGACAAAATCGGAAAAGCAGACCACTTGAAAAGGACAAATCGGACCACTTTCCTAGTTGCTGTCGAGTTTGTGTTTGTGTCATCCACAACCATGCCATCGCAGTAGGTCTGCCAGTGTATGTGCACAGGAAAAAAGGGTAATTATTTCGATTATGTGTTTGCCTCCCGTCATAGTATAATATCATTGAACATTTGTGTGTTGGCAGATTGCCAAAGGTTTCGCCCTCAGAAGGTTTCCACCCGTTTTGACTTGCCAATTACACCAAGGCCCCATCCCTTTCGAGCGACTCATTGAGTTCTCGCAACACCCGCTTGGCCGATCCATTGCACGTGTCCGCTATAGGTCATTCCGAGAATTCTGCTGCACCTGATATGGACCCAACGATGGCACCTTTGCAGTGTGGTCGATCTTCTCCATTTTGGGTCGGGGAGTTCTTGAAATGAAAGGAATATAGAACAAGTGCCACGCTAGTAGTAACAAGTGCCACGCTAGTAGTAACAAGTGCCACGCTAGTAGTAACAAGTGCCACGCTAGTAGTAACTCCTTGGCATTTGTAGTGTCCAAAGGTCCGGATGGTACTGAAAGTGCCTCAAGGCGGTGTAGGTGTCCCTGTGTTTCAGCGTTTTCGCAGACACAGACCGAGACCTAGCCTCATGACTTATGTCATTGCCTGGCTCAGAAAGGACAAAAAAAATGGCATCACAGAAAGGAGCTGATGCACTTGCATACAATACCACACAATACCACAGCCTCACCCTCATAACCACAGAGTGCATTCACTTGCATTCCTTGCGAAGGCTTAACGTTTAATCTTGGGGTTTGACATTCCTGAAGGTATGTACACAAGACTCCCAAAACAACATGTTCAGGTCAGGTTGCAATCTGTTGTATTCTATTTTCCATCGATTGGGATCTTGCCGATCACTTCAGGCCACGAACCCTGCGCTCGGCTTGCGCAGAAGCGTGCGTAAATATCACTTTTTTCACCTAGAGCCAGTATCAAAGTACCAAAGACCCGGCATGCGCCCGAAGGATTTGGAAGCAGATTTTTGCTCCGTTGTCATTGCAGGCATCATGTACAAGTTCAAGGAGATTCAGACTATTCCGCCAGCTAAGCAGCTCGTAGACATTGTACCTTGGCTCTTCCGTCAGGGCAGCCTTCCGGGCAGCTTCTCCGTCCGTCCTGCAAACGCCGAGTTGAGCCACAAAGGGTTTGTTCTTTTTAAATCACCTTCTCAGCCGCCACAGCGTCTGAGCTTCAGCAGGAAGCTTCTCTACAAGCCTCCACAATCAGCAAAAACATGTCAAATCAAATTGTGTTGCATTCAACATCGGAAAACTGGAACCTACAATATACACCAAAAGCGTCAACACTCTACAACAAGACATGGAGAAAGACTTGTTTCGTAGCATAATGAGTCCGAATAGGAGCTGTTCTTCAAACAAAACTAATTGTGGTTCATTATGTGATGTTCATGCCCTGAAGTCATGCTGGAAAGACAAGCAACTATCTCAATGGCTATGTTGTCATTGTTAGTTACTGTGTCGTTATACTTTATCTACAGAAACTTACCCACGAACGCAGAGCTCAGATGTTGTGTCCCTTTTGCATCCTTTTGTGTACTAAATACATCCAAATGTATATCCCTCCTTCCACTCACATCCGCTTCCTGCCACACCTTGGTTGTGGACTATGTGAGGTACTCTCGAAGACTCAACGGAAGACTCCTACAGTGGTCCATCCAGGCCTGGTTTCTGCTGCCCAGTCCTGTTTAGTTTACACCTCTCATCGTCGACCCGTCTGGAACTATGAACTAAACTCCCAAGGTTTGGGTTACAGTGACATCCTTCTTAAAAGTTTCAATCCACAAGATGACGACGTGAACCACTTCTTCACATGTCAACGATGCTGGGCCCTTTCGCCCTTCTTAGGTCTCCGCGCACAAAAATCCCAATGTCCCCGCGCCTCTGGGCGGACACTGCAAAGGTTTCAAGATCACTCGGATCCGGAGCTTCTACATGCGCAAGGCCTGGATCGGCTCTGGGACTGGACGACCGGGGGCTCGGGCTCGGACGAGCGAGCGCGCGCTCTCGTCGTGATACGTTGAGACGGAAGCGGGTGATTGCTGTGGCATTTGATATCGAACGGTGTTCTAACAGTTGTAGATTTGGACATGGGAAGTCTGGTCTATCTGCAGGTCGCAGAGCTCGCGAGGCCCCAAAGAAACACCCTGTTTGCGAGATCGATACCCCGCTCATGTCTCACTTGTCTATCCTGTACTCCCCGCTGTACTCCCCGATGGGACCAGACGACCCAGGGTGATGCAAGTGTCGTGCTACTTCCCATGATCAACTGAACCAATTTGAGAGCTCCCTTGTTGGCAACTGGTATACTAAACCAACCCTATAACTGTAACTGATGTTTCTTCAATCAAAAACCATAGTTTACAGATAAACCCTGACCTTACCAAGCAAGCAACTTTGCCAAGTTCGGTGTTGCCACTTGTGAGGTGAAGTTCTGCCAAACCAGCTACAACGAGAAGTTCTCCAAGATCTTGGAAGAGCCAGGAGCCTAGTGCCTAGTGCTACGTGCGGCTAGGTGCGGCGTTGCGCAAAAGAGAGGCAAAACGGAAGGTTGGAAAGACCTACAGACTAGTGCAGGTTTACACGGCCATTCAAGAGGACCTTTACTTCCGATCTTTCTTTATACCCAAAAAATATAGACATTTGATTTGGGTTGCTTGCTTTCAAGTCTCTTCTTCTTCTCCATCTTTGGAAGTCATGGTGTTTTCCGGAGTTCAAGCGTTTGTCCGGAGAAAGGCGAGCGTTTGTCCGGTTTCCGGATCCGTTGGTCCGGAGTGGATGGCGCCGGCAGGTTTCCCAAGATCGACGACATCCATCCATTCTATGCCGACCTTTGCCCGGCCCCTCAGTCTGCCGCAGCGACAGCAACGGCCGCAGTCGACAGCGACCCGCAGTCGACCAGGTGTCCAGGTGTTGTACCAAGCTGAGAGCACTTGGGGGTCGATTGTCTGGCAAGTGTTCTCCAAGTGTGACACATGTTTCCAGATGAGGCAGCCGTGAGACTGACACCGATGTCTAGAAAGCCAGGAAAGCCCGTTGAAGTTGTTTCGCAGTGACTGTCAGTGACGTTCTGTTCTTCCACCCCCTAATCAGATCTTCCTTGCCTTGCTTTTCCCACATACTAGTTGCCCAAGAGTGCAACATAAGCCTAAGCTTGTGTGTTCTTCTCAGGCGAGCAAGCCAGATAGCCAGGTACAGGCTTTTCCACATTCTAGGGCATTCTTGCAGGTTCCAATGAAAGTGGTGTTCAAGAGGCGTTCTACTTCGCTCATGACATTACCTTTAAGCATAGCTGTTCTTGTGTGTGAGGCAGTTTTCCTTCGGAGACTTGCCAGGCAATGTTCTCTATGACCGAGACCACTACAAGCTTGCCTTGGGTCAGGCCTCGTTGAGCTGGGTTTCAATGGTCTTCAATGTGAGAGGGGGTACGTGACTTCAAAATTTAAAGGGAGAAGGGTTTTTGTGCTGAGCTCTAAGAATCTATGCCTTTACATCCTCTTAAGGCACAATATAGCTGGTCACCACTGGCCCCAAACTCCTGCCGCTCCTAGCTTTGTCAACCGGTGGGTACAAAGGAATTCCTTGGCTCCAGTTGGACAGTAAAATGCTTCCATCACACAATTCAAGGGCTGGGTGATTCAGAATTTGTTCAAGGAGATTTGAAAGAAGATGCGGAAGATTGAGAATGCATCCGAACCACCACATAGGTTTTGTTTCATCTATGTTTCGAGTGGCGCTTATTGATATTGACATCAAGGACCAAGGATTTGTAGTCAATTAATCATTTGGGGAAGCTTCACAATGCTTCACAAACTGCTGAGCCGGTTATCTCAGAG